TTTCCTATCTATATGCTTCCTATTTATTTTTCTTCTATTATATTGGCAAGAACTTCCAGCCCCATGTGTAAGAGTAGTGAGAGTGGATATCCTTGTCTAATCTTAGGGAAAAGTACTCAGTCTTTTCACCACTAAGTAGGATGTTACCTGGAGCCTTTTGGTAGATGCCTCTTATCAGGGTGAAGAAGTTTCCTTCTATTTCTGAAAGTTTTATCATGAAGAAATACTGGATTTTGTCAAATGATTTTTCTGGAACAACAGATCTGATCCTGTTTTTTTTTTTTTTTTTTTGGTACCGGGGATCAAACTCAGGTCCTTGTGCTTGCAGGGCAGAGGGCAGGCAGTGGAACAACTGAGTTAAATCCCCGGCTGATCCTGTCTTTTTACAGGCTGTTAAGATGTGGATTATGTTGGATGATTTTAAAATATTGAAACTTCTTTGTGTACCTACTATAAATACCACTTGGTTGCAATGTGTAATTCTTCTTATACGTTGATAGATTTGATCAGTTGAAGGTTTTTGTGTCTGAGACTGATCTATAGTTTTCTTTCTTTGTACCACCTTATCTGGTTCTTGTATTGTACTGTCCTCATAAATTTAGTTAGGAAATGTTCCCTCCTCTTTTACTTTTTAGAAGAGTTTGTACAAAATTATCATTAGTTCTTCTGTAAATATTAGTAGAATTCTCCACTGAAACCATCTGGGCCTGGAGATGTCTTTTTCAAGAAACTTAAAAATATGAATTCAAATTTTTATGAATATAGGATTTTTTAGGTTGTTTCACTCATCTTGGTAGTGTTTCAGTAATTTGTAGTTTTCAAGGAATTGGTCCATTGCTTAGTAGTTTTCAAAAGCATCAGTCTAAAGCTATTGGTAGTCATCCTTTTTATGGCTGGCATATCTACAGTGATAATCTCTTCGGTTCTTGATTTGGATGTATCTTCTCTCTTCATCCCTGTTGGTCTTGCTAGATGTTTATAAAATTCATTGATTTTCTCAAAGAATCAGTTTTTTGTTTTATTAATTTTTAAATTGGTTTGTTTTTGTTTCATTGCTTTCTGCTTTTATCATTTTTATTTCCTTCTTCCTGCGTGGCTGAGGTTCTTCTTTTCCTGGTTTCTTGGGGGTAGGAACATAGCTTATTCATTTAAGATATTTCCTCTTTTCTAGGTAGCATTCAGTGCTATAAATTTCTCTTTGGCACTGCTTTAGTGGCAACTCCAGGTTTTCATGTTATCTAATTATTATATTATTTATAATTTAATACAGTAACATATTTATATTCTTTTGTTCCCTCTTATGTTTCACTTTTATTAACTTGTGGGTTACTTGAACATTGTTTAGCATTCTACTTTGACTTACTAAAATTTTTAGATCCTGTATAATTGTATAAGTGGTTGCACAAATGTGCATAATTTATCAGTGTATGATTCAAGTGATGTGTAGAAATCTTACTTCCCTTTACCTTCATATTTAAAAAATATAATTGCCTAAAGTGTTTCTTTTTTACTATTTTTTAAAAAATATTTTTGGATTACTGGGATCAGACGCAGGGGCACTCTGCCACTGAAGTACATTCTCATCCTTTAAACATTTTTTTTCTTTTGAGATAGTAAATTAGTGATAGATCACTAAATTACCCAGATTGTGGTGGTCCTGCCTCAGCCTCCCAAGTAGCTAGAATTATAGGCATGCACTACCATGCTGAGCTTTAAAGTATTTCTTGTGAATGTCCTGATGGTGTTGATATCAGATGGTGCTGTAATTTTTACTTCATCCATCAAGTATAATTTTTGAAACTCACGAAAACAGGATAGTCTATTATTTTTACCTATTCCATGGTCCTTTTTTTCTGAAGTTCCCAAACTTTCTTCTGTTATCATCTCCCTTCTGGCCAGAGAGCTTTCAGTCTTTCTTTAAGGGTAGGGTCTACCAGAGACAAATTCTTAGTTTTGCTTCATCTGATCTACTTCTTTTCTGAAAGATGTGTTCATCAGATATACAATTTGTGATTGAAAATTCTTTGCTTTCAGCGCCTGAAAAGTGTTCCACTTCCTTCTGGTCTCCATAGTTTCTGATGAGAAATTGGCTGTCCTTGATCTGTCTCTAGCTGCTTTCAAAATTCTTTTCTTTCTCTTTTTTCTTTCTTTCTTTCTTTCTTTTCTTTCTCTTTCTTTCTTTCTTTCTTTCTTCCTTCCTTCCTTTCTTCCTTTCCTTCCTTCCTTCTTCTCTTTCTAGTTTACCTCGCGGAAGGTTAATAATGATGGTATAGATTTCTTTGTGTTCATATTATTCAAAGTTCACTTAGCTTTCTTAATCTGTAAATTTGTCTTTTGCCAGACTGAGGAAAATTCCATCTGTTCTTTCTTTAAACTAACATAACTTAAAATTTTTAACTTTTATTAGTACATGTTTGCAGTACATTAGTTGTGGGGAATTGGCACATGTACATGACACATCTTATTTCTTTATTTTCCCCCTTCCCCCCTCCATCCCTCTTTTTTACCAGCATCAGATTCATTTATTGATCTTATAAGTAAGTCCTTATAAAGTTAACCGTCATACATACAGATTAGCAGCCAGATGAATAGGCCAAAAAACCCTATAAAACACATAGGACAATTATAATAAATCAAGGTACATTTTTTAGATATATGCTGGATAAGAATAATTTTTTCCTTTTTCTAGTTCCCTTTTCCATCTTTTATCCTGGACTTTATACATTGAGTTTCTCATATAAGAGAAACTATGTGATATCAAACTTGTGAGTCTGATTTATTTCACTTAGCATGATGGTCTCAAGTGCATCCATTTTCCTACAGAGAACTCAAATTTATCCTTCTTTGTGGCAGAGTAATTCTCCATTGTGTATAAATACATTTTCTTTATCCATTCATCTGTTGATGGACATACAGGCTGCTTCCAAGATTTAGCTATAAATCCAAGATGCTGCTATAAACATGGGACATTACTGTGATATAATGCCTTTAACTCTTTTGGGAAGATATCTAGAAGGTGGATAGCTAGGTCAAATGGAATTTCTAATTTTAGCTTTTTGAGGAAACTCCATACTGATTTCCATATTAGTTTATACTCCAACAGTGAAGAAGGGCTCTTTTTTCCCCCACAGCCTCTCTCTAGTGTTTGTTACTGGTTGATTTCTTGATGATAGCCATTCTTTCTGGAGATGGAATCTCAGTGTTGTTTTAATTTGCATTTCTTAAATGGCCAGGGATAAACTAACATAACTTTTAAGCACATTTTAAATTTGAGAAACACTGTTCTAGAATAGGATTCAAGGGTTCAAGAAACCTCAAATTATATACAAAATACTGTAAGGTGTTCGTTTGTTCCTGGGAGGGTTCAGACAGCTTTCACTGGATTTCAGGGGCTACCTGACCACCAGATTGAGGGTCTGGTGGAGGATAAAAGAGTAAGACAGATAAAGAGAAAGGACTGTTTTTATGGGGATCCAGAATAGCCTAAGCTCTTATAAACTAAGACCATGAAGCTCTGGACTTGTCAGTATTTATTGATTACATAACATAGCAAAGGGTGTAAAAACAATGTAGGGAACAGCAGGGGGCCAAGGCACTGAAGAGAACCAGGCTTGTAAAAATGGAGGAGTGATGCATTCGTGCAAAAGACAGATTGTGATTAACAAGCAACCTGTGTTTTCTTTAGCTAATGTTTGCTCTGGGAGAATGGCTGTAAGTGTCATAAAATCCTCAGCTGCAGTGTTATCTTGCTATCAGAGGCATCACAGTGTCATCGATCACTGAGATTTCAATTGTGACCATTGACATACAGAATTCTGTTTCCATACGCCAGCCGAAGGCTCAGCTAGCCAGTCGTATGGGCCTAGGACAGACTCACAATTTAATGAAAAGCCAATTTATAAAAAAATCCAATAATATTTTATAGCCTGTCCAGCACAGTTTCAAGCTGGTCTCCTGCATTGGATTCTTGTAAGATCCCATATCACTTGCCAAAGTTTTCTACGCGCATTGGTTTATGGCCTTATTGTGTTACTTTTGATCTTCTTGATTAAAACCAGTAAGAAACTACTGGGTGTCCTTTCCTTCTTTGTACCTCAGCTGTTAATATCCTGTGGCCCAAAGATCTCCCTGGCATCTTTGGAAAGTATGATCAGTTAAGTGAAGAGTTTCTAAGTGCCTAATTTGTGCTGGACAATTTTTTTCCTCGTTTTCCCCTAATTAGTGAGAAGGAGAAGAGTTTAAAAATTAACATCATTCTTTGGCTTACAAAAAATTCAGACTAAGAATGCTAGAGTAAACTGAGCTGCTTTGTCCTTTAAAATCTATTTTTGACACTGAACTGCATACTGCCCATAAGCACTGACTTGTCAGAGCTCACCACTGGCAGCTGACTGTGAGCCCTTCTTCCATTTCTTCCTGAATGTCATAAATATCTGTCGAGCTTCTTCATCTACAGTTGTGGAAACCAGGTGTTCAGCCCATTCCCTGGCAAGTTTAATCTTCCTTAATTCTCACAAGCATCTGTTTATTCATTTTCTTTAGACTTTTTAAGGAGCAATGCAAAGATTACTGGTCTTCTCCTGCTAAATGCCTCTCTCCCCATTTTTGGCAAATACAGACAACACTGACCTCTGTCTTTTTCCTTTGTCTTACTGCTGGATCTTATGAACCTCTTCTTCCTGCATTGACATTTGCAAGATCTATCTTTCCGAGCAGAATATAAGCTCCTTGAGGCAAGATGTGTCTTTTCTAAACTAGACTCTCCAGGGACTGGTATAAGGCAGCATTCCATGAATGTTGGTGGAAGAACTCTAATATCAGATCACTGTAGTTCTACTATCCATTATGATTAGAACAAGTATCTCCTCATCTCCTCTACATCTTTACTTCCTATGTATCTTCTATCCTTCATTCAAAGCCATTGTGAACTATTTTTTTGTAAAAGAGAAATGAGTAGATAAAGGCAACACATTTTAAAGTAATTTTTTTATTCCTTCCAGGTACTATCTTGGTCGTCGGATGCATATTGTTATTTCTGACCCAGACATGATCAAGCAGGTGTTGGTTGAGAACTTCAGTAACTTTACCAACAGAATGGTATGTTGTTTTCTCAGCATATGTTTTAAAAAGTTTTTTACTGGTACATGTTTGCAGTATATAGTGATTACATTCATCATGGAGAATTGGTACATGTACGTAGTACATCTTAATTCTTTTTACTTCCCCCTTCCCCTCCCTCTCCCTTCCCTCCACCTTTAGATCCCTTTGCAAAAGATCTATCTCCCTAATTCCTATTATCCGTCCTTTACTTTGCTCTTTAAATTATTTAAGACTTTGAGTTTCTCATATAAAAGAAACCATGGATATTTAAGCTGTTTGATTTATTTTACTTAACATTATGGTTTTAAATATTCATTTTTCTGCAAATGACTTGTTTATCTTTCTTTAGCAGAGTACTACTCCACTGTGTACAAATACCACGTCTCTGCATATGAATGGCTTGGGGGGGCGGGATTCTAAAATGAAAAGACTCTATGACAGACCACTAGGGATATGATGGGGCTTTTCATTGATTCTAGGTCAGTTCTACTCAAAACTAGCTCCCCTGTGAACTTGGATTTTAGAAAGAGAGTATACAGAACTGCTACAGAAAGATGGCATTTACATTTAAGAAATGCTTCAAGAAAGCAAAACTCAAGAGAAGTTGAGGCTAACAGAAATACTAAAACCAGGAAAGTTTTCTAAAGCTGTGCTCAAAACTAGAAGAATCCAGAGGGCACAGGTCAAGTGACTGAGGACACTGAGCAATTATGAGTAAATACAAGAAGGAAAGGAAAATTTCAAGGGCCTTGTGCCTATATCTTTTGATATGAAAGTATACGAAAGAGTATTAGAAGTACAAAAGTATTAAGGTCAGAAAAGCAAGCTAAACTACATTAGTAGGGAAATTTGTCCCCAGATAACCTCTGTTAGTTCTGTTCTCCAACCTACATACCCCATCATTTTTGGAAAGTACTTTAAAAGCATACTTCTTTTTAATCTTTGATGAAAAATCTCAAAAAATTGGACAGATGACAGAAAATGGCAGAGGTCAGTGTTGTTCATATTTTCCAAAAATGTGGAGATAGGAATTCTAGCAGAGAAGACCAACAATTTTTATGTAGATTCCTGGAAAAAGTCTAAAGTGAATTACTGAACAGATGCTTGTAAGAATTCAGACAATTCTGTGCCAACCATTTTTGGGGGGAAGTGTCAAATAAAACCTCATTTCCCATTCTTATAGGGATAGTAGATAATGTACTCATTCTTCTGTCAATTACTTGGCAAACTTTTTGCACATCTGCCATCAGCCAGGCAGTGTCTTGGTGCTGACTGTAAAGACAGAGAAGACGCCATCTTGCCTGCAAGGAACTCATGGGTAATGAGCCGGGCAGGCTGTTAAGTCATTCACCAGAGACCAGCACAGCACAGCACAGAGAGGTTCCTGCAGTGGGGAGCTCAGGCTATACAGGGCACACATGGGGAACACTTGCTGGATGTGAGATATCTGGGGCTGAGTCTTAAACTGCTGGGGGTCTCCCTGCATTCTGTACTGGTAGAGCCATCTGAAGGGTTTTGTTGTCTTCATTATTTGGTTTTGGTTTTGTTCTTCATCATGAGAACTTATGAGACTGATACCATTCATTAGTGTCTACATTTCACAAAGAAACTAGGGCTTAGAGAGATTCAGTGACCAACCTTGGTCACACACCTAACTCAAGGAATGTCAAACATTTGCCATGTTATTGCCTTCAGATCAAATCTAGTGCTCTTTCTACTGCACTGCTAGAAATGGCTGGTTCAGGTGACATTTCTAGGTGTCACAGTTTAATCAAATAATTGACTACTCATCCAAAATGTGCTCATCTTCCAACCCAGAGCATCATGCCCAGTTTCAGACACCACATGGCCTCAGAAGGAGGTGACAGTGACAGCCTGTCCTGATGCCTCCATTCCCTTGGAATGGCCAAAGGAAATGCAGGCATTTAACTCCTTCCCTGTGACCTTTAGATTCTCTTCCCAAACATTGTGACATTATTTCCCTGTTCAAACACCCCCAAAGGCCTACTGTCCTGCTGGGATCTCAGAGACTGAGTCTTCCCACTAAGTGTATATTGTCCATACTGTCAGCAAGGGGTGTTGATTAAAGAAGCGGTGAGTCAAAGGGCGCAGGCCACCATGTGCTACCCAAGCAGGTGGCAAAGGTGCCCCGGGAGCCTACTGTGCTTCCTGAGCTTGCCTGAGACCCTGAACAGTGAGATGGGATGTGACAACTGTGTGTCTCCATATGGTTCAGATGACCCCCAGGACATCACCCAGAAATGGGCCACACTCTGATGCCCATGCTAGATACAAACAAGACTAATGTACATGTTCCAGCAGAGGGCAGCAAAGAAAGTTGCCCTCAGCCTTGGCCAGTTTCTCCTCTGAACAAAATGATTGGCTTCTATCAATTTCTTGGCTAAGTCTCTAAGTCCAGGACCCCAAATTCTAGAGCATGGCTCCAATTTCCTTCCTTTTCCACCCAACACAGGATTAAGACTTCAGCATTAAGTTCAAGTCTCCCAGACAAGATGTAAGGACCCCTATAACTTAGATCCATTCCACATGCTCCATCCTCTCACTGACCCCCAATACCAGGTGTCACCTCAGCTGGCCTCTGGACAGTCCTGCCCCTGTATCTTTGCTTGTGCTGACAGCCTCTAGAATGAGAGGCTGCCAAACAGTGAGTCTCACGTTTATTAGCAATGTCATTTTGAGCCAACTTCTTTATTTAAGCCCTTTGTTCCTCCTTAGGAAAATGGGGATACCACCTACGTTACTGAACTATTGTAAAACTATCATGCATTCAAGCACTGCGCCTGTGCAGTGCTTGGCAGGGAAGACAAGCACAACATCTAGTAGAGCCTTTTAGCAAGAAAACTCTCCACCTCTCCTGCATCCATCCAAACCCTAGATGTTCTTCAAGGTCTCTGAGACTCCGCCTCTTCCAGGAAGTCCTCCCTGCCTTCCTTCCCATCTACTGTTTCGCATCTCTGAACTCTTTCTTATGCCTTGTTTTTGCAACTGGTCCCGTTGTGTCTTACAGTAAAGGAAGATGTAGTTTCTATTCTAACTTGATTATTAATTCTTTAAGGCCAGGAACTATATCTTCTACTTCTTTTTCATACCCTATGGCCCAAACACATGACTATTTAGTCTTCAACCCGAATTGCATCACTATTAACTTGAAACTCTGCCCAGAAGAATGAAGTATTACCTGAATCTAGAGATTCAATATCCACTTATTCATCTGGGTCATTCACAAACATAGAAAAAGACTCCATAGATTGGATCTGAGGAAACCCTAGTGTTTATAATTTTCCATCTGGGAATGTATCCACTTATCTTTAGCTTTGTTTATGGTCTTTAAGCCAATTCCATATTCATGATAAAACAACCCTTAGTGACTCATTTTTTTTAAAAATAGTCATTAGAGTGGGATTTTCTCACAGGTTTTTGAAAGTCAAATTAAACTGGGTTCTGTGGCTCCCTCTTATCCATATGCTTATTTATCTGCTAAAGAACTCAAGGAGATTAGTGAGGCATGATTTCTCCTTCCTGACACCTCACTGCCTTCCCTCTAATAAGCCATGTTTACTTAAATGTTCAGCGATGCAGCTTTATTATACATTCGCTCAGTAAACATTAAATGCTTATGCCATGCAAGCTTCTAGCAAATGGTCCCTTGTGATACAGAAATACCTCGGCAGATTAGTTTGATGCGTCAAGTGAAGAGGAACTTAAATAATGTGTAGTTTCATTTTCCAACAGAAAGAGCCCATCTCTGCTCACAGATCCAGGCTTGAATGATGGGCGTCCCTGGACAACCTGGTGGAGGATGCCCTGGGTTTAGCTTCGAGATTCGATGAGAGCTGAGTGTGTCCCATGAGGGACAATGACCGGAGGCAGAGTGATGGCACAGGGAACTCCCCGACATATGTCAAAACCGAGCAAATATTTGAATTCCAAAATCACTGAATGAAATATTCTTTCTCCAGCTCCAGAACACTGGGCTGAACAAACTATGGTCAGATCCAGGGTGGCACTTTTTATATCTCACTTTCCCATTCACACTGTTTGAGGCACAGGAGCCTGCATAGTGACTCTGCTCCATCTTGTCCTTTTCCCCACCCGCACTCTCTGTGTCTCTATGGACAACCTCAGGTCCTCGCCGAAATTGCTCTGCACTGCCACAGTTTACCCTTGAACACAAGTCTGTGTTCCTTAGCATTCTATAGAGATTCAGTTGTCCCAATGGGATTGTTTTTATTCTGCAATACTAGGGATTGAAACCAGGACCTTCACACTGAGCTACATGGCCAGCCCTTTCTTATTTTGAGACAGGGTCTCCCTAAGTTGCTAGACTGGCCAGGCTGGGCTCGAACTTGTGACTCTCCTGCTTCAGGCTTCCAGAATGTGGGGATTACAGATGTGTGCCACCATGCTTGTCTCTGGATATTTTTCCTTAGATGTTTTGTCTCCTCTTTGCTATGAGGTACTCAATAAAGTCCTAAGGGTTTGCTTTTTTTAATCTGTGGAAATTGGAGCAGAGTCCATGTGACTCAGCAGAAATGGCCACAACCAATGGTAGAACTTCTTATTCTTAGCTTTCCATCAAAGTCTGGAGTTGGGGAAGCCATGGAAAGAGTGATAAGAGGTAGGCTGGTCCTTGCCCCATCTCTTTGCTTCATGTGGTTTGAGTGGAGATATGGAGGAGATATACACATTGAACCATGAATCCTGCTGCCTTGGAGCTAGGAGTTCTGATCCAAAATGGCGCCATGGAGCTTAGCCACAGTCATGCTAGCTCCCAGTTCCAATGCTTGGACATGGAGTTGAGGTGGAAGGGGTGGCAGTTGTATATGGGGGCCTGGGCTATCAGCCTTCAGGTCCTGATGAGGAACTCAGAGGTCACCTCTCTAGGCATAGGTCAAGCCACAACCTTGACTCAAGTGTCACATCTAAAACCATGTGATGAATTTGGTGAGTGGTTTTATCCAGAACCCTGAAATCTC